GAGTTTCCTCATCCCGATGAATTCCGCAGGGGTGGGGGGGGGGACCTTTTCAATAGCTATGCAATCATTCTCTTCCACGGGTCGCCTACTCTTACTCATGCTACTAGAGACCAATAACTGAAGAAGACACCAATCACTTGACCATACTGGACTGAACATTTACCTATTAACAAATTTACGACAGGGTAGCTACCCGAATTAAACTTATCAATTCAGGAATCCATCCTCGCGCTGACTGTCTCCGCCAAATTCAACAACCTCTGTCTTTTGTAATCTTGGGAAAGTGAAGGAAATTGAATTGAATGATGATTGATGTTCATGCAAATTAATATGCATCTCGAACATGACAACCATTTATTCATTTCTTTCTTGGTTAGGAAAATCTTAAATTAATTCTAAAAAACTCTTCACTTCCAAGTCTTCCTCTTCCTCACTGGTGACGACGACTTCATTTTCAGATTCACGAGGCTCGTCCAGCATATTTAATTTCTAAAAAAGGGAAATCTATTGAAATGGAAACTTCCCAACAAAGACAAAGCAAACGTACTTGGTCAATCACAGGCCCAGATTCATCCTCCTCTGACATCTGCAATAGCTAGAACTATTTTCTGAACACCTGCCCAATCTGTTAGATGTACAGATGTGATTCACGCCACTGATAGTTACCCAATGCCTGCAGCTAAGAGGGCACTTTTCCCACCGGGTACAAGTGCTATGACCATGCAAGTAAGTGCAAATTGGAAGAATACGGGCAGTAGTTTGTGTAATCGATTCGCCGCGCGCGGCAGTCGCGGACCATTCGCCTCGCTATGACAGTTCTAGCGTTCTTCATACACCTCAATCGAAATGCGATTATTATTTTTGGCATGATTCTAATGTTGGTTCTTTTGTTCTTGTATTTCTTATTTGCTGCTGCATTCACTACATTCCTTCGTGCGCGGCGTCTCCCCTGCCACGACGCGACAATTTCGATCCTACTGCACCACACCCAAAATGGGACAGTCACAGTCAGAAAGGAGGAAAATTCTGCCCTAGCCCTAACTACATCAATTAATTTGAAGATGTAACCTATAAGGTAGGTCTCAAGTGAGCACCAATCTACTGCAATCATGTGCAAGTCGTCTGTTGTGAGAAATCGAAAAAGGTCCCAAATCGTCGGTATTGATAACCGTTCGCTTCCCAGATAAGCGGGACCGGTACGTTCATAGAAAATGTAGGCTCCATCTTCCCATTTATCTCATGGCTTGATGTGCCACTCTTTAGTAATCCAAAGCCGGCAGTGTTTCACTAACTTTCCACGTGGCTGGAGGTTTTCAAGAGGTTACCAACTCAAAATAACACCACATATATGCATGAATCTTAGTCATTACAACTGTAAAAAGTGAACGGTCTCAAAATGTTCCGGGGAACGAAGCTTCCTTCATAGGTGGCAAACGGATTGAACTTACGTCTTCGTCCTCTTCAACTGCCGATGACCATTCAACTTTGTCGTCGAGAATCTTTCTGTCGCTTTCCTTCTTATTTATCTGCATCACGAAACTTTTGGACAGAATTTTCTGTCAGTTAACCCGAAGTTTTTCAAAAGGAGGAGGCGCTCACTGACCTCATCCAGCAGGTCGTAGTCATCGTTGTCCGCTTTCTCTTTTGCGACGGAGTCGACAGGTTCCGGAAGTTTGTCGAATGAAAACATGTGGTTTGTCGCTCGCAGAGCAAGTGAAGGAAACTTCAGCCATGATGCCTGAAACACGGGGTTCAGGTGTTCTGGGGCTGCAAATACTAAAAGTTGGCATGCAGCTATTTGACAAATTACTTCCTTTCCCCTTTGAAGCGTGATAACTATTCTCTCATATGATCGTGAGGTCCAG